ACGAAAAGGTAACAGGATAATAAATGCACTTTTTTGGGTCTAGCTGTTCTCCATTCTGCTTGAAGGTGTCCACATTTAAAGACACAGATTCTAAACACTGGAATTGCTTGCACCTGTTACAGAAAACCATCTGAAATACTCAGATTGCTGACTTACATAGCACTAAAGCTTTTTCCCTCACGTGACACAGCTGAATGGATGACTCCACTGAGAGAGTTTTACAGAGAACACATCCAGAACGCACACTAATGAGCTTTTTAACAAAATCAGAGTCTACTTTCCTGGGGCGGGGAGGAAGCAACCAACCATTTACGTCTCCATCTTTCAGACTACAGGCTGCTTTCCATAAGAATCACACTGACATCTTTCTAACCTTCCTGGTGTACCACTTGCATTTTGCAGGTACAGACTTTTCCTCCCCTCCTGGCTCACTTTCCATTCACATCATGCACTAATCTAGGTGGTGCATGTGGACAGGGATTGCCCAATCTAGGCCAGTCACTTCAGGGTCCCCTCTAAAACCAGCATCTCATGACCACGTTGCATTTCACTACCTTTTCTGCGCAGCAGCAGAGAAAAACAGCCTTGCCCAGGCGAGGGAGGGACAGACACTCCTGCTTTAATTTTTTCTGTCAAAACGGGGTTCAGGATTAGAGTGACGCCGACAGAAACACGACCAAGCAGGAGTGCCTCCCAAAAGCCACCCGAGAGAGAACCATGAGTTTTCCCCAGGCAGGCGGGGGGGTGACGCGAGGGAGCGGAACAGAGAAGAGCTCTTTTCGGTTTTCTCCAGTTCCCATTCGGGCAGGCCCGGCCCAAAGGGGACCAGAAATCACAGCCAATCCCTGCCGGGCAGTGAGGAGCCCGCAGCTCTTGCGGCTGGGTGACCCAGGAAACAGCGGGCCGTGCAGGGGCAGGGATCCCGGGATCTCCCGCTCCCCGGGCCCAGGAGGCCGCGGCCGCTCTCCGCCTCCCTCAGCCGCGGCCGGGGGGACGCGAGGGGTCTCCCCGCCCCTCCGCCAGGGGCCGCGTCGCCCCTGGCACCGGCGAACGATGGGGCCGGGAGGAGGGGGCGGTCGGCTCACCCCAAACCCAAAGCTGCCCCCCTCCCCTTCCTCCCTGCCGCTTCCACACGCGGCTGCTCCCAGGAGCAGCCCCGGCTCTCTTACTCTGGCTTCTCCGCCGTCCCGCCGGTGCAGCCCCCCCGTCTAGCCCCGCGAACGGCCGCCGCCGCCACCGCCCGTACGTGGCAGGGCAGAGAGAAGGGGCCGGAGCAAGGCCGGGCCTGCGCGAGCCGCGCGCGTGCGCACTGCCCCGCTCGGGGCCCCGCCCCCTGCCGGCCGACATGGCGGATCCTCCTTGCCCGCTGTGCCACCTCAGCGCTGCCGCAGCGAGGCCGCGCTCTCACAGAGGGCTTCTTTCGAAATATGAGCCTCGGCTTTCGTAGGCTGGTGGTGCTCAGATAAAAAAACGGGCCGTAAAATTCTCCTGTACTTGTTAGACTTGCTAGACACCCACACACAGGAGTCATTCATCCTGGTCATTCATCGTTACTCTGGTAGCCGCACACACCCTCACACCCACTCACACCCTCCCATACTCCTCTGTCTTGCATTCAGAGCTTGTCCCCTGTAATATATGTTATACAGTAATTCATGCTTAAACGGAGAATGTATAAAATAAAAATTGTAAAAAGAATCTAACATCCAACAAGCCTCTGACCACGAGCAACCTGGATACAGATTAGTACACTGGAATTAGGAAACTCCTGGTGGCAGCAGGAGAACAATGTCTCGCTTACTAATGGAGATGGGCTTCCTCCGGAGCCACCAGGGAACACCCAAGGGTGATCCTCGCTTGGTAGATACCATCAATCAAGAAAACCGAAGAATACGCAACTTCCCCTGACATGATCAGCGCTTGCTAGTACTCAGGAAACAGCCATTGTCCAGCCCTGCACAATGAAAGAAAATGTCATACATGTGTGGGGTTACAAAAGAAACCGGGGCACCTCTGCCTCAGGCATAAAAAACTGTATAAAACATCCCTGCTGGAAACAGCATTTGTGAACAGAGGGAGATCCGGTGCGATAGAGGTCAGATCTATGTTCACCCAGCGCTGATCCCAGGCTCAACGCTGCCTCTTTGGCTATGGGTTTTGAGGACCATATTTTGATCGCGAAAATAAAATCTTTCGCATTTGTTAATTTGGATTTATGGCTGATCATTTATGTAATATATGTTAGAAATAATTCATGCTATAAAAGAATGTATTTTATAAAGATTATTAAATCCAAACGAGTCTCTGACCACAAGCAGCCTGAGGGACGGATGTCTGTTCAAACTCCAAAATTCCTGGAGTTGGCCAGATAACGATCGGCATTTAGCCCAAGAATAGACATTCCCAGCACGATGATCATCGCTATCCGGAGTCATCGGAAGACCCCTAAGAGCGATCATCACCCTGTTGATAACATCGATCAAGATAGCCGCCAGAAAGATACATGTAAATACGTGACTTCCTAGCCAGAAAGATACATGTAAATACGTGACTTCCTAGGATTCGATCAACGCTGGCTATCAACCAGGAAACAGCGATTGTCCAGCTCTGCACAGTGAAAGAACCAACTATGAATATGCAGAGTTACAAAAGAAACTGGGACTCCTTCGCCTCGGGCACAATAAACTGTATAAAACATCTCCGCTAGAAGCGGCTCTCATGAACGAGGCAGGGGTCCAATGCGATAGAGGTCAGATCCAGGTTCACACAGCGCTGATCCCGGGCTTGACACTGTCTCTTTGGCTGTGGTGGTTTTGAGGACCGTATTTTGGTCGCGGAAAAAGATAAATCAATCCTTTCACATTTTTTATAATTTGGCTTTTGATTGATCATTTATAACAATTCATAACACCCCTAAGAGACAAAAAACATGAATCTGCAGCTAATTTCCTGAGTTTTGTCAATGGAAGGTGCGGGAATGGATTCCTAAGGGTGCCTGTCCCAGAGCTGCTGGAGCTGGGCTGGTGTTGCTCAGGGATCGTTGGGATTTCTGCTGCCCATTTTCGTTCAGCACTGAGGCCACGCTGTGCCCATGCTTCCCACAGAGGTGCCTATGCAAAGCTACCGAAAGCACAACTGTGCTTAGTTATTTCCTGGCATTAAAGATGCCTCTGAAAAGACACCTTTTCCTTTAATATCTATTTTCTGCCAGGACAAGGAAAATGTAAGAGTTGTTTAGTTTTTGTAGTATTTGTCCTTGCTGAGAGCTCTGTTCCCACCTAGAAGAGGGTCCAACTAGCAGTAAGGAGATTGAAAATGGAGGTGAGAATTTGAAATGGAAGTGAGAGAAGGTGAACAAATTTTAATTCTGAACATTTCAAGGAGAAGGAGGGGCAAGGTTCGAGAGGATTCTTTGCTAAACTTTACAAAGTATTTAGAAAATATTTGGGTATTTTCAATGAAAAAATCTTTGCTTTAAAAAATATGGGGAAAATCTGGAAAAGTGGACGTTTCCATCCATTATACTTTCTGCCACTTGTATTACATACCTTTGTACTGATGATTCAGTCCATCTCCAATCCATTTCTTTATCAAAGCAAGGTTTCCAAAGTGTTGACAAGAAACTTTGTGATCCCTAAAGCCCACATATCACAAACAATACCAAAGTTCACTACACTATGAAGATAAATACATTCCACGTGTAGATAAGAGCTGAACTATTGTTCCTGTAATAATGTAGCATATTACCTGAAAAAGATCATTTTAATTTGTTCCATTTCTGAAATTAGGATTCCTAGATGAAAGGAAAAAAAGCCATGAAATGTATAATTGGGAGGGACGGGGGGGGGACGGGGGGCTTTATGCTGAAAGTGTTCTATATCAAGCAATAGATATTCAGTGTTGGCAATAACAGCATTTTATTCACATCTGAAATACTTAGAGACAGGATGCTTAATCCGTAAATGAAGACAACACTTCCAATTCTATACTTCAAATTCTTTGTAGGTTTTTGCCAAGTTTTTTGGCATAACATGGAAACAATATTTTTATTAGTTTTTTTAAAGAGGCATTCAAAATTAAATGGGATGTTCTTTAGAGAATACTTTTGTTTGTGGAGAAAAAAAAGTATCAATTATAAGAAAATATTATCACTCATTTAAGGAGTCATCCTCACAGTGCCTAGCAGTGTTCTACAACACAATCAAATATCATACTTCCTAAACCACACAAATTTCTAAAGGAAAATTTCTGAAATAAATTGGAGGAATTGACAAAACCAAGCATTTTACATTGGTTTTATAAATAAAAAATACCCCGTGGCCCATGGGTACATAAACTTCCTATCCAAAAAAAAGTATGAACTACCTGTCCTAAATAACTTTTAATGACCTTCTCTGCTTTTTCTGGAGCAGTAGTGATGAACTTCAGCCTTGCTTCTGGTGTGACTGCACTTTTTAGAGGAGTATCAATGCTCCAGTATACTTATTTTCTGCCTCATAAGTCAGCATGGATTTCTAAGACATGGAGGACTTTTCAGGACTGATGAAACACTTCTATGAAGACACTCAGAAAGCCTCATGTGTAATGCACAGTGCATTTATAATTGCTGCTTGTTGATATACTGTTTGGTTTCTAATTAAATTGAATTTTTACTTATGAAAGGGAGAGGAGGGCTGCAGTGCATTGGCCATGTCCAGTGGGCCTGGAATATACAAAGGGCATAAAGAGAGCAACGTCTGTGTGTCTGTACTGGAGGGTAAAGCTGTCATTAGCTCAGTCCTTGCCAAGACCTTGGGATACAAGCAGCACCAAGAGGCTCGGGTGCTGCCTGGCTGCTTTGCAGCCACACTGTCCTGCCAGCACATGGTCCTGCTTCTCTCTCCCCGTGGTCTCAGCTTATGATCTATTTCCAGCTACCTGCAGCTGGAGAAGTGTGTCCATCATTCCAGGTACCTGTGAGAGCTGTATGAAACAAACCATGAGCAATGTGGGATTGTATTTCATGGATTTGCAGGTTTCCAGTTCCAGTTAGGGAAGGTAGACAGGGAAATATTGTCTGAAAAAGTCTGGGTTGATCTGAAAGTTTCCTCTGAATGTTTTTCAGGCTGTGATTTTTAAATATTTTATATTTTTTAATGCAGATACAGTGGTACCTGGAAAATGGGAACACTTTGAAAACTTTTGTCTTGAAGAGTGATGTTCTGAAAGTGAACAGAATACAAATCTGGAGTTCCTGTAGAGGAAATGAAAGTGTGGACTTATTTTGCTATTAAAACCAGAAAAGATTAGTCAATGTGAATTGATTCAAAAATCAACTCATAAAATGAGTTTTGGTAACTGCTAACAATTACATCAATAACTTGAAATAAATGAAGTACTTTCAAGAGGAAAATGAATCCATGTAGGTGATTCCCAACTACAGATGCTCATTTGCACATTGTAATGGATTAGTTAGCATGTGTCAGGAGCCTGTCTCAGGATCATATTATTACTCTCATCTGGATAGGATGAAGATAAGACCTGGCTGAGGATGCCATAAGCATTAAATGTGGTGTGCCATATCAGCACTTCAGTCAGATTCAGACAAAGGGAATAAAGACTTTAACATTTCTGTACTGGTTTTCTAAATTCTCATTTCAAGGATTAAACAGGAGAATGTCGAGTCAAAAAAAAAAAAAAAAAGGAAGCTCATGTTTTTAAATAAATGGATCTGTTTCCTGCTCATGACTTCAGTTTTAAGTCCTGGGCATAATCTGTCCATCAGTGTGATATGATCACCTCAGGACTTTTTGCACAGTGTTTGCAGATCTGATTGTCACTGGTGTACAGGCACTCCGTTTTCAGTGGATCAAACTGACAATAAACAACTTAATGTTTGGGGATGGGTGGATTTTCACATATTTCTAATTAGCTGTTTTATAGAAAATAGCCAAGGACATAATAATGAAGAATCCATTACTCCAAGTACTTCATATGCCTTATATGAAGAGATGCATTTATAGGAATACAAGGCCAAGAATCCAGCAGGGCTGTGGGGGGAAAGAAGAGGCAGAAACTTTCCTGAAGGCTTTTTTTTAGTATCACTGTGAAAGGCCTCAAGCCATGAAGCTCTTGTTACTACCCTGGGACTCTTTCCAACATCTATTGCAGAGGAATTTTTTCCTGCTATTCTTTCTGAAAATAATTTTATGTATGATTTGGTGTAAGAGAAGCCACCTAGACAGAACAGTCTTTTCAGTGCTGACCTTGAAATAAAATCCCACCTTGATTTGTACAAGGGTAAGAGTTTTATGTGCAGCATCCATTTCTGAAGAAAAATCTGAATCCCTATAACTGCTTTTTAACAAGTTCCCACCCTATATCAAGCTGTAGAACAAATAAGTCCAATTTTTGTTTTTAAATCTCAATTATTAGTCTCAGAATTGCTAAATATTACACCTGGGTGGCATTGAAAACACAAAACTGAAAGCAAGACTTGTTTTTTCATTGCTTATTAACATCACCAATCATCCAGGTGATCCCAAGCACTACCACTATAGAGATAGTGCTAATCATATTTTTCATTAATGAATCCTTTTTATTCCTTGAAGCACACACAAAAATTTATTAAATCCTTCTCTATACCATTTAATATCTGAGTTTCAAACTTTCTATTTATTTAGGGCTATATTGCAAAAAGGTATAATTAAAGTGAGTTGAGAAGATACACTTCCCTACATTTGTTTGATGTATCACTTGGAGAAGAAATCCAGAAAAATAAATGTAGCCAAATTTATCAGACTAATCTGTGTCTGGAGTATGCAGCTTGTATGTATCTGTTTTCAATTTTAAAAGTGAGGTTTATCAAGGCAATTGAAAATAAGCATGTCAGCTATTATAATTTTTTTAGAATGCTTATAAATTCATCAAAATGCACTTAATTTTCAACAAAAGAAGTAGCTGTCCATGAAAATTTTATTTAAGGAAATGAAGAAATGGTACAAAATTGTGTTGAATGGATTAGTCCCATGGAATTAATAAAATGAAAGCAATCCTTTTTTAAATAATCCAGTGTACACTGAGAGCTTGTGACATATAGCCTGTGACAATACATACAGCCTGTGACAATACATGGAGTGGTGATGTAAAACTGAGCAAGTAAATCTGCTTCAAGCTGCTCAAGAACTGGAGTGATGTTTGGCTGTGCTGAGAAATTCATAATTCTCAGTTGGCTCGACCTGCTCTTCTCTCACTTTTAGGGATATAAATTGGGAATAACTGTCATTGAAGTCGAGTGACACTGCGATCCAAAAAGGGGGACGAAAGTCTGAATACATTCATTGATATGCACTTGAACAAAGTCTGACCCATTGTAACAAATGGAATTCATTTTCTGCCTGTTGAAAGTATACATTTCTTTCAAATAAAAGGTTGTGTCAAAAATCTGAGTTTGTGACAAGAAGGTCCGAGCTGGCGACAAGAGACTGAGGAATAAATTTGCAAAAATATGACCATCATCTGTAAGGGGTTTTGTGTTTACATTTCCTCAACAAGTCTGCCTTTCTTTTGTATTATCCACTATTGCCAAGATACATTGTAAGCCTGATAGCCTGCTTTGGTATGTGGGCACTCCAATGAATACCTATTCCAGAAACACAGGGCAAATAGGATTATAATTATTATAGCCAGATTTTAAATACATGTGAGGTATGTATATTTCAGTACATTAATTTAATTAATTTAATATGTTTAATGTAGCTACTGAAATGTAGTTATGCACTTAAGTGAAGGGCTGGAGTATCAGTGAGGCTAAGGGTGTCTGCAGTTTGCATTTCAATTCACAGAGGACTGCACAGTCTTGCAGAAGGATTCTAGGCAGATGTAGATCCAGTACCCTACATCCTTAGTAAGGAGAAAATGTCTTTCTTTCTAGTGAATATCTAGGTTGAGTAAAGAGTTTTATTTCTTTTGAGTACTTAGAAGTACAAAATAGTATACCAATATGTCTTGGTTTTGAAAGACAGGTGTCTGCTAAGGAAGGCAGGTGCCTCCCCTCAAATGGAAAATGTAAACCTCCTCTCTCTGAATTGCTATAAATTTTAAATTAAGGGGGCTCTCAGGCAAAAATATGGGAGCAGGAATAACAGTTCTTCACTAGGGAAGAAAATAAAAAAATAAACAGTGCAGTAAACTAAAACAACACTGACAGAGTCAGAACACAACCTGACACCCTGTGGGTCAGAGTGTTGGTAGCAGTTGAATTGGAAATGTGGCTGCAGTGCTCCTGGAGTGTCAGGTGTGGTTCTGTTGGAGTAGGGATCCTGTAGAAGGGTGTAGTTTTCCTCTGAATGTCCAGTGGAAGAGGCAGCTGCTCCTCTGGGAAATCCAGCAGAGAAGCTGGGCTGGTGTTCGAGAATCTCCAGATGATATCTGGGTAGGAATGCTTGGCTCCTCCCTCTGGGTAAAACATCTCCCAATGGGATGTTATAGTTCTTATTAGTCGTGCAGTGACATTCAATGGGCTGTTATCAGCAGATGTCCCCCCAGAGGAAGGAGTGGGTGTGGAAGAGTGGAGCGGTGGCCGGTGGAAAGTGAAACGCCCAGGCTAGATAAGTGTCCAGCCAACCTCCAGCCAGTCAGGCACTTCCCCAACACGGAGTCAGGGCGTTGTGCCCAAGGCGATGTCAAGCCTTGCGGACGTGTGGCCGCAGTAGAGAGCTCCGAAGTCGCAGGATGAAATGAAGAGGCGACTCTCAGTTTCTTCAGGGAGGGTGGTTTTATTGGTAGGGAAACGTGGAGTTTTTCGGTGGAAGAAGCTGAGAGCCCCGAGGCAGGGAAAGCCTCGGTTTTACAGAGGGTGGGAGGGGTGAAAGATAGCAAACACAGTTGCGGGAGGGACCCTGGCCCCTTACCCAATCACTCGACACCCTGGCCCGAACTCTCTAGAAAAAGAGGCAGGGGTGTCGAGTGACAGGCAGGCTGCCAGGGGTGGGGAACAAGAAAGATACATTTGATAACCAAGACAACTGGGGAGGGGTTTGGGGATTGACACAAACTGGTAACAGGGCAGGACCTTCTGAGAGAACAATGGGGGGAAAACTGAACAAGCATAAAACACACCACAACAGAAGAGGTAAATTAAGTGTGCCCACTTAATAGAAGACAACTACCATACAGATGACAAATAAAATACAATTTTCTTGGCAAACCAGGACACAACAATACATCTATATTTGCATTAATAATAAGCCATCACAAAAGCATGGGATAGCAAGTGTTGTAATAATACGTGGACTTGAAATTCTTCCTGTCAGTAGTTTAGAGCTTTTCCTTCTCTGTCTGTAGCTGCAGTGTTATTGCAACTACTATGGCAGGGATTCCTAATTAATAAATGAGACATTAGCAATTTATTGTTTTGTTGCACAGGCATACCTCCCTTCCACACAAATAGCTTATTGCTTCCCAAATTCTATAGATTTTAAGATCTATGTTTCACCTGCCTTGTACTAAGGTAAATGGGTTTTCTATAGCCTAGACAAAAGGCAGGACTGAGGGTTGTGAGCAATATTTTTCTGAGGACAACTCATAGCCATGACTTGCTGATTTTTGCCAGCAAAGAGCTTCAGCAGAGCTTCCTGAGCCAACACCTGTGGTGACAGAGCAAGCCCCTCCTGGGCTGCAGTGGGCTCCCTTATCACAGCTGTGCAACCCTGCCTTCTGGTCAGCAGAGAGAAACTAATTTAGGAACATATTGTATCAAACACCTTTGCATTTCATACCAGATTGATGCAGAGTGTAACTTTTGCCCTGCAAGAAGCTTGGCTGTTAGGTAGGTTTGCCTCCTCAATCCCTTTGCTTCACTTCTTGTATTCTGCACCTCCTGCCTACCAGTTCACACTAGGCAGCACATCTCATGGGAAGAAACCTCATGCAAAACTTTTTATCCTGGTAATAAACATGTTCCTTAAAGTCTATTCCTTCTTCATCCCATAGTAGAGACCTTACAGATTGCTATGCACTGACTGTGGTCTCAAAAGAGATCCAAAAGCAGCGAGTCAGAATCATTGTGGTATGGATGTGTGTAACTTGTCACAGGACACATAGAAGAATGTAATGCTGTGCTGTCATTTAAATACCTATGGAGGGAGCACAGTGCCACGTAGCCAGGCAGCATTTGCTGAACTTTTTCTGGTTTCCATGTGCAGCCCAAATTCCAAATGGTTCTGAGGAATTGCCTCTACAAATGCAAGACATAATAATGGAACAATAAGGGTTGAAAACTGCTTGGTGGGTGCCATCAGAAACAATACGATACAAAAGCTGAATACACAACATGGAAAATACTGGTGCCCCTGTACACTGTATTAGAAGAATTTCTTGAAACAGTCTGAGATTTTCACTTTACTTTGTCAGCACCTGTCTGAATTTTCCCGTTGTCTGGGTAGTTCTCTGAAAGAGAAAATGAAACGTTCTCTGAAAGTGAAACATTCTCTGAAAGTTTCCTTTCAGTTTGCTGTGTTGCTTCTAACTGCTCTACTGACTTTAGAATGTGTTCTTTGCTTATTAATAAATAATGTATAAAAAATAATATCAGGCACTCATTGCTTTTGGATATAGTCAAAGCTCTGGCTGGGAATCACTAAATGGGGAATTTAAGTCCACATATGCGGTCACCGTAACTGAAAGATTTTTTACTTAGTTGGTAGAAGCAGATTGTTGAATGCTTGATTACTGTGAAAGTTTCTCCTGCACCCAACAGGCCTGTGCTGTTGTGCCAGTGACCAGGCTATCAGTTTCAGTGTTTTATCAGGTCAATGAGAACAAGCTCAGGTTATACCAGTAATGTGAGCAGCAACAGGAGATTATTAAATCACGTGGCACTAACCCAGAGACACTGATTCTACTTGCTCACTGCTGATCTCCTATCTTTACAACTCTCCCTGAATGTACTCTGTACTATAAAAGTTGCCACATGGACTTCAAATCTTACCCCATCCCATTATTGACATGGTTATGAGGAAATGTCCAGGCAGTGGCTTCGTGCCTCTGAGCAGCAGTAAGTACAGCAGTGCAGAACTGAGTGCTGACCACAGGATTGATGCCAACAAGAAATAGTGCAGCAGGACAGCCACAGCTCTGCACCAGGAGTCTGTGGGAGTATCCACCCTGTCTGAGGTGAGGTGATACTGGTGGCATCATAAGGAAGGTATTGCTGGTAGCGTCTGGTGGTATCGTTGCTGCACTTTCTGGAAATTTGACTTTCAATTCCAGAGATGAAGATGATGTTAAAAATGAGCATAGAAAAGCAGAGACTCACTAACATCCACTGTACAGATAAGTTTTGAGTTTTTCTATTGGTAGAAGTATGTTTAGGAGAAAAAAAAAAGAGAAAAATGAGAAAAATTCTCAAATATTTTCTCATTTTCATTTATATTAAAAGCAAGCTAGAGAGGAGAAACTTTAATACAGACAGAAACTAAAACAATAACTTATTTGCAGAATCACACCAAGATTACTCTCAGACAACTTAACAAATCCATCAGTTTTGTCTGACTTTGACTAGAACAGAGAATATCCAGCACTTTTTAGGACTAGGCCTTGACTGACAACAATTTGGGATGTATTTTTTTCCCTTTCTGCTCTTTTTGGGATCTTTTTCATCAGTGTTAAGAAGCGAGTTAGCATAAAACAAGTATTTCTAACCATTCTCCAGAGTGCAAGAGAATAATAAACCTCCACTTCCAAACTTTGTCCTGTCTCTGAATCACAGAGTCAATTAGGTTGGAAGAGGCTTCCAAGATCATTGAGTCCAACCTATGACCAAACACCACCATGTCAACTGGACCCTGGCACTGAGTGCCATGTCCTCTCTTTCCTTAAACACCTCTGGGGACAGTGATTCCACCACCTCCCTTGGCATTATATATAGTATATATACACATATGTATAAATGTGTATTTTTATCTTTTATATATATATATATATATACATATATATACACATTATCAGAAATCAATACATTTAAAAGGCAGAGGCTAGAAGCTCCTACAGTCTTAAAAACATGAACCTTGATGGACTTGCTCCAAATCTGCATTAGTCCAAGCAGGATGAGAAACAGGCCTTAATCTATTATAACTTCAGCTCTGCTGGCATGACTTCCCTAATTGTTCAGAGGGGATTCACAGGATACCATTAATCACAGGCGTGTCCATCAAGAAAATTTGCTGCAATTGTGTTTGTATTAAGTCATTCACAATAAAACAGTAGCACAAGCTAGCTACTGCCTAGGAGAAGATATAACTGTTTACACATTGTAATACCAGAGTATGTGGGGAGGTCACACGGCTGGTGGAGCACTGTGACACATTTTTAAAGCCTAGACTTGAGACAGTGAACTGAAAAGCTCAATGTATATCACAGACCTATGTACTCTGGGTCTGTGTTGTTGGTGCCTGACCAGGGTAGTGACAGAGGTGTCAGCCAGTCCCAAGCCATGCTGTGTGGCTTAGCTATTTTTGAAAATAGTATTTGCTAATTAATAATATTGCAATATGTTCTAAACTGGCTGCTTTTAATTGTTTTCCTCAAACTACATGCAGAACAAAATATTATAACTTAGTGTAAAATACTTGCAGTTTAACATCTTCCCTCTTACCTAGTGAGTGAGTATTTGAAACAAAATGATAATAACCAGACCAGCCATGGACAATCCAACAGCAAATAAGAAATATAATCCAAAAGCTTTTCATATTTATATTTTATATGTAATGCCCAGAAAACCAATTGTATCACTTATATGAGATGAAAAGAGATACATTTCTTTCTAAAGTTTCTGTTTCTGGTTGCACATAGGAACAAGAATGTTTCAGTAAAGTTATGATTTTTGCTAGCCACTGCCAGAATTTTTAGATCCCACAGAATTATTCTAGACTCCAAAACTAGAGAAGCTTGTGAAAAACACCAACAAGAGATTTAACAATACCAATCAAATATTCATCAAAATAGCAGATTAAATTATTCATAATAAAATGCAAGGGGACACAGACTTTACAAAGCAGCTTTTAGCTTTTCATACTGGTGAGCATTCTGAATTTTGACTTCTTGGTCTAAGGTAAGATATTACAAAGAATTATAAATTGAAACCAGTCTATGTTTGTATAGTGACAATAAAGCAGCAAGTAAATGTAAATGTATTCAGTGAAACAGAAAATGCTGTTGCCTTTGCATAAACAGATGGGAATCTTATTTAGAATATAGTCAATTCATGCAAAAAGGACATGCGTAACACAAAGGGAAATGCAGAAACAAGTAAATAGTACAAATTTGGAAATGCTGTTCTGTGAAGACAGTAAAAATGAACTCTGAAATGCTGGCACACTGAAATTAGTGACCACAGATATGTGATTTTATCCAGGGTGTGTTTTGTTTAGAGAAGCTGAAATAAATACTGAAGGAATAACAAACATCAGAACCAGGCAGTCATTCCTAAATAGTCTTGTTGGTAAAAGAGGGCAATGTATAAAACTTAGTGGTTGAAAGCTTAATATTTACAGTTCAAGTACTTTTATAAACACATAAGCAATGGGAGTAGTTAATGCTAAATCCTCTGAGCTATTTACCCAGCACAAGGCAGTGCCACAGCTAGTCCAGATTCCAGGAAGCTCTACTCTTCACCTGGGGACACTTCAGCCTTTAGACAACCCCTCATCTGACCACCAGCTTCTGCAACTGAGGTGCAGAGCTGGAGGCTACAAAGGCTGAGCAGGGGGAATGAATTAGGCCAGCCCTTCCCTGCTGAGGAGCTGCACCAGCAGCTGGGCACAGGCACAGGTCGTGTCAGAGGGAGCCAGGACTTGCCAACACATTTGGCTACTCAGCAGCTTGGGCACAACTTGCCCAATTTGCCACATCTGCCACAGGGCAGAAACAAGTACATGGGGACACTTTAAACTCCTGTGCATTCTAGCTTGAGTGCACCTATGCCCTTGTGTTGCCATGAGTTAGAAACAATCAACCAAACAAAAAAAATTAAACAACCTCAGATGCTTCCCATTGAAGAAAGGACAATACCCTACCATCAGAACAGCAAAATTAGTGGTGTGATTACACCTGCATCGTTGACAGGGTAATCCCAAAAGACACAGGCATGACCACACAGCTGCAGTTCAGATGTGTCATACTAGGGATGGGGATTGCAAAGAAAAAAAGTGGCTACAGAGACATAGACATAGGCACCAGCAAACTGTGTGAATTGACAGTGATTTGATTTTGAAAGGGGAGCTGACAGCTACTAAGCAATATATGGGTTTCATAAACCTTGTGAATTATATCAATAACAGCATAATTTGGCATTTTAAAATTACTTTATGTGCCTTTCTCAGACAAGATTGCCAATGAAATTACCAATTCCTGTGAATTATCCAAGTGATCAGGATTCAGGCTTCCACTGACTAGGCATTAAAGCACTGCCAGTTGAATTATTTGTTAGCCAAACAACAGCTTTCAGGTTTTGGTAGCAGTGTTACTGCCAACCAGAGCTGAATCCACACTGGAACAGGAAGCAAACAATGATAAATGGAGTGGCCCTTCCCTCCCCTCCTGCAGCACAGTGGTGCTCGTGCACTCACACATCAAATGACATGCAGACATTTTCAAATATACTTCTGCAAGGTACAGCAATTAGAACTACTTTTAATGAGCAACAAGCAGCTTGGAGTGCAAATAAGAAGTGAACACAACCATTCATGGTATTAAGTAGTTCAATTAAAAATTATGAATAAAAATAGGAGTAAAAAAGTTTGTCTCATTTCCTTAGTAATTTTCTTAGAAATGACACATTTCCTGGATCACTTAGCTGTATGGTTCTATGGTGATGATTACTGATCTGTCATATGTATGTGTTTGAGCTTAAAAATTTTGTTAAATATTGTAAGAAGAAGCCAATTACTGCTTTCTGGAGAAACCATGCCAAATTTGAATACATATTATCTAAAAATTCAAGGGGTTTGGCAAATGGACACTCACATAGCAGAATTGTCTGCAAGAAAGCAGTAACATGTGGCATCAGTTCCTGGTGGAGGAAGTCAAAGGACAAAATGGTTTTATCTGGAAGTAGGAGTTAAAAGACAGCATGAAAAATGAACATTCCCCACATTAATATGTGTATTGGCCAAGTCATGTTGACTTTTTTCTTGTTTTCCAAAATTTTGGCTGTCTTCTTCTGGAGAGAAAGACTGTTTTTTTCATTCTTGATATAGGACTAATGCACCCTAAGACAAATCCCCTCTGGTATTCCTATGGCATTTTATGGAATACACTTTTGCTCACAAATGTCCTAGTTTAGCAGCACAGAGTCAGCGGTATCAGCTGTTACATACAAAAGTTGAAGAACATTTTCTATGCCACTTGATCTAAACACAAGAAGCCTGAACTATGCTCATGCACACATTCAGCATTTACAGATTTTTGTTTAGATTTTTTTCAAAATCCATATAAGTAGTTGAGAAAACCTGCTATTCCTATGAATGTTAAGAGAGATCTTCAATTTTTGCTGAGGTGGAGTGTGAAAATAATTATTATCCTTCTCTTAATATCATTTCTGGGGGAAAATACTGGTAAATGAGAAAAATAATATCCTAAATCCTAATATATGCACACCATCCAAATGGCCAGACTTTTAATAACAGTAAATAAGAAATAGTCACACCAGGGACACTTAGTGCAAAGTCAGAAGATAAGAGACTGCCTGGCCTTTTGCCTTCAGATCTCACTTTTTGACTGGCTGGGTTTTTTTTCACACTTCTACCAAATTAGAGTTCATCTAGGTGATTTAAATTGCTCATCTGAATTGTAGCTTAAGTGAGGAAGCAAAATCCTAAATTATATAATAGGCTTTTTTATTGCTGTTATGCTTTTGACTTAAGACCAAGAGAGATTGATTTGATCTCTCTATAGTCTGATCATCAGGTGAGACTAATGTAACTGTATTTCTACAGAATATCACAAATGTGTACTTAATATTGAAGAAATCTGTTGAGACTTCTTGTAAGACAAACTGCATTCAATATCTATCTGTCTTGAGGGGAGTATTATGTTATACTGGCATTATGATAAAGGCTTTGATTATATGATCATACTGTTTTTCCACAGTATTGTTTTCTGAAACAGAGAACAGAAATGGCAGTGGCCAGTTAATGAGTTATTAATTGATTGTTGTTGGTGCTGGGTGTATTGGTTACTTGGTTTATCTCTTCACATATTTTTCTAACCCTGGTGAGAGAACTGAATTACTCATTTCCCTATGGGATTGTATTCAATTTATGTTCATCATTATGATGTCTAAGTGCTCCACTAACCTCACCTTTGTTATGCTGTTGTGATTTCTCAGTGTTACTGACACTACACTAAGAGATTGAAGAGAAGTCTGCTGGTTTCAGGTGCCCGGTGTGAAACTCTTGTGATGTCAGAGAAATGCACATATTTGAAGTTCAGCAGAAGAATTATAATCTTTTTTTTTTTCCTCCTGGTCAATACCAATTTATCCTCCAAGTACTGCAGAATGTAAGTAATGGAATCTAGAAAAATTCCAAGTGAATAATCCAGTTTACAGGTGTTAGGATGTGGATGTCCTGACTGACACCTGACAGCAATAGGAATTTTGGTTGAAATGGTTTATGTCTTCAGATTTCAGTGAAGTAAGTATGTACTTGTTCTTAATCTCAATGTTTGTAGACCTATGGTTAAAGATTCAACACGCCCTCAATTTTAGAAAATAAAACAACCGAAAAAGTCACAGACACCAAAAGTATTCTGGCCATTACATGTACATTTGCATTCTTCTATAAATAAGATTCTCCAGCTCATTTGATGTTTGCATTTCTTGTACCAGGCATCAGCATGCATAAAAACCAGCCAGCTAAGGGGTTTTTTCCCCCAAAGGAGATTTTCAGTGAATATTCATTAAAAGTTTTCCCAGCTGCAGTTTTCTAAAGAAGAAAGGGCTTACTTAAAATGTTGAACAGTATCTGAACTTCAGTACTGAGGTCACCAATAAGCCCAGGAGCATTTTCCTGTATTTCTGGTTTTGTTGATTGATACTTTCCCTGTGCTGTATCTGCAACAATTAGCAGTGTATGAGTTAGGATTTATGATTCATACTGGTGTTCATTCTGTCTAGCTAAATCCAACAACACTCAGGACTTACTTCTCTGTGCCAAAAACAGAATCATAGAGGAGCTTGATTTCAGTGGAGCAGACTGGATTGCAACATTGGGCTGTGAGATGTTACCAGTGAAAGAAAATTCCTCCATTGCTTTCATGAGGCTGCATCAAAATAATGAGTGGGATAAAAGTTATAATTATTTGTTATTATACAGCTACAGGTTCAGTTTCTGAGCTTCCTGTCTGATTTGGTTCTCCAGTGGGTAGTGCTCCTTATTTCCTATCCCCATCTTTTCTCTAAAGCAGAAGAATCCAGCAATGCTTACATTGGTGTAAATTGGGAATTGCACATTGGAGTTGAATGGCAAACATATTTTAACTTGTTCATGAACTGCTTTCATCCTGAACCAGAAGGGGAAATGCTGTTGACTTACATCTAAAGAAAATGGCAAAAGCTGAAGTTACCTGGTTGTAGCACTGACAAGAGTATTGTGGATGAATTCTGTTTGTTGGCATCCAAGAGTTGACTCACTGCAGCCATTACAGCCACAGATGCCTGAATCGAGCAGAAAAATGGCAATATTCAAATGCACTGGAGTAAATCACCCCATGTGCTACACACTGAATGGGCAAAGTAAGAACACTTAACAAGCATTGCTTGAGAGTACACAACAGAGTAAAAAAGTAAAAGAAGGCATTCAAGGGAGCACAAACTTTGTGCCAATGGGTTCATAAAGCCACACTTTTATTAATTTAGTTAGTAAAGATTTAATTATTAACTTAAACATTAAATTATGCTTAAAAATTGCAGATGTACATCTAAACAGCTGATAAGTTTACACTCAGTTCTGAGAACAGACCCAATGGTGATTCCACAAGTACATGCTCGAGGATGCTTAAATAACTCTTCTAAATGACAAAATGAATGCATTTGTTTGTAGTGTTATGTACAGTTAAGAGAAAGAACAGTGTCTTTTCTGCTGGTGGAGGGGGAGACAGAATTGATAACACAAATATTAAGCCCCACAAGTCTTATTTTAGCTCTAATAAGACTCACCTGAAAGTCTTCTGAACATTTGGCTTTTTCATAATGTGCAGCAGTGATGTTCTGTCTGGTCAGTTGGTCTGTCATGGAGCTGAGGAGTTGAGTGTTACTTACAATAACTGAAACCTTCCCAGAGCCCACAGTTTCAACCTGTGAGGAAAATGTCATTTAACAGGAACAAAAGGAGGAAAGGCAAAAGAGTCACCACGTCATAGCATTCTCACACAAAATAAAAATATACAAGTAATAAAATAAAAATATACAAGTAATTGGCCATCCAAAATGTTTGTGTTAATGTCAAGTATGTGGTGTTTGCAAATTCTCCCTAGAGATGGTTTTCATGAATTCTTGGAGTATCTTGGGTTGGAAGGGAGCCCTGGAGGTCCCCATGCCCAACAGGGGCTGAAATCAGGCTGCTCAGGGAATCACTTTGAATATCCACAACCTCCCTTGGAAAACTGCTTGTGTTTGAACAGTGTTAAGGAGAAAAATATTCTCTTATTTAAATGGAATTTCCTATATTGCCACTTAACTCTGTGGGCACTCATGCTGAAACTGCACACCTTGAAGAACAGCCTGGCCCCATTGTTCTCCCCACCTTGCCATGAAGTAGCAGCAGGACCTCTCCTTTGTCTTGAGGTCACTGAGTTCTGAGTCTATAAACTTCTCTGCACCTTTCATTGTTCCTTAAATAACCACAACAGGATTTTTTGAAAGGCCATCAAAGGAACTTGAGAAATGTCCTCTGGAACAATCATGCCTCTCAACACAGGGTTTATAACCTGCAATGAGGACATTATCACCACTTCAGTACATTGAACAGAGTGTTAGCTTGGAAAAAATGTTAAAAAAACCCCAAAACAATAAAATATTCTGCTGCTGGAGGTACCAATATGAGTGCTATAAGCACTGGTTGGAACCAGTTTGAGTTGGTTAGCACTGAATGAATAGAGATTAAATCTCTGTAGCATCTTTAAAGTCTAAACACAAAACCAAGTTGAGGCATCTAGCTGTACCTCCATATAATATATGAAGGTTCAGCTATATAACAATAAGAGACAGAAAATCTGCCAGTCATCAGATCAAGTCATCTGGTTTTTAATCCCATCAATTAATAACTCTACTGAATTGCTTCAGTAACTGAATTGTTCTCAAATTACTTATGTTGGGAAGCTACCAAAATCAAGATTAATTCTATCATGCAGCTTTGAAGAATTGATAAAACTTGGCAGGTAGATAGGTAAGAAAAGTGAATGTCTTGCATAGGGAGGAAGGAAATTTGCATTTATAATTACTGGAGATAATATTATTTGACTTGAAAACATCTGCATGCACATGATGGACCAACAGTACATCATGAACATCTGTGTTCACTGTTTGTGGTCTTTGTTGGGTCCCCAGGATGAAGGAGGAATGATGAATCTGACTCCATGTTCTTAGAAGGCAAATCTATTATGATATGATATGATATGATATGATATGATATGATATGATATGATATTACACTATATTACACTATATTACATTACATTACATTATATTATATTAAAGAATGCTATACTAAAACTATACTAAATAATAAAGAAGGGATACAGACAGAAGACTTAACAAGATACTAATTAAAAACTCGTGCCTGACTCAGAGTCCTGACACAGCTTGGCACTGATTGGTCATTAAGTGAAAACAATTCACATGAAACCAATCAACCAACCACCTGTTGGATAAACAATCTCCAACCACATTCCAAAGCATCAAAACACAGGAGAAGCAATCAGATAATTATTGTTTTCATTCTTCTCTGAGGCTTCTCAGCTTCCCAGGAGAAGAAATCCTGGTGAAGGGATTTTTCCAGAAAATATGACAGTGACACACTGTTCTTGCTTCCGACTTCTAGCATCACCTTGGATTCAAAATAAGTAGTTCTATTTAAAAGTAATCAAATGCTTTTAAACCTAGGCTCTGGATCACTAGCATGCACACCTGCTCCCATTCCCCAGCTCCCCAAGCTGCCCTCAGCTCACTAGATGGCAGCCCAACATCACAGCTCCCAAGAAACCCACACATTCCTGATGGCAGCAGAAAAACCATGTGTCGCACCTTACTGGCATTGGAAATAGCTACTTGTAATATTATATATTGCTTTGAACTGTTTAGTGGAGGTTATGTACTGGGAAAATGTAATATTGAGCTCAAGGGTTTCTCAGGAAAGGATCCAAGCAAGTGAAGCATTGGGTTGAAGGTACAGTAGTCAAGCAAAAATGCATGAGGAAAGGACTTCTCTTATTTAATGGGACTGTACCTGGTGTATTTTTTTTTTTTTTTTTTCAGTTGGGACTAGTGATAAGGAAGTGAAGCACAGAAGCAGCAGAAGGGAAGCAGTCACTGTAATGTGCTTAGTCATGTTCAGCTCTCCATGTTTTGCAGAAACAGCAGGGCTAAGCCTTAGAGCTAGACTTAGGGAGTTATGGATTTTATGGATTTTATAGATGGCATTCATGCAAGAGAGTTTGAATTTGGATTCTTGATGGACAGAAATATTGACAGAATGGAAAGTCTTCACTTTTAATCCTCCTGAACATGTTGGTGTCAGTGTCACCCTCATGCCAGTCTTCTCCCTTTCACTGGTTTGGTACCCTGGGTCAGCATTGTCTCTGCTCAGAGGCATTTGCTGTGAACTAGGAACCTGGAAATTGGAAATTGCAGGCTAGTAAGAAAAGTGAAGTGGGATGCTGTGTTCAGGCAAACCCAAGCAAAATAAAATTATCACCGTTGGAAATTCAGGCCATCTGCACAGCAGACACATGCCAAGAATGCCACAGGAAAAAGGCTTTGGTCATTTATTTTGCTTTCTGCAAAGTTTTGAGGGATATGAGATATATTTCCTGCCCCAATTTTCTATTCCCACTGCCCATTTTTTTTCCTCTGGGACAATGCAGAATCTCAGAAACTGTTTAAGTAGTAATTTAAGATTACCTGTGATGCTAAGGAGTCCAGATTTTCATTACAATTCAAATTTGGGGAGGCTTTAAAGTACAAATTTTCCTTTCTCAGGAGCACATCCGGATTCCTATTGAAGCATTACCTGTAATTTTCAAAAAGCAGAAAGATATGCATTTAGTATGGATGTTCTCACACATTCACATGATCTCACTGGGACTTAAAACTGTTCTGTGGCTGTGACACCCTATCCAGTGTTACTTTCTGTTTGCTTGTAAAATTTTGTCCTTCAGTGTTAAAAGTGACCATCAATTATTATCTATTTATGGTTCTTTTCAGAACATGTGGTTTACATTCATGTCAGAGGAGCTGACATTCTTTATGTCCAAGTCAGACTGGATTTAGTTATGTTAGAGCTGCAAAAATACATCTTTTAATTGGGAAGCACTGGCATCAGCTCTGAGCTGTCAGAAAGAGTTTTTACCATGTCCTGAAAAACAGAGTTTATATGTCATGAAAGAGATGCAAAGGACATGTGGACCAGCAGCTGTGCAGCACTTACTCCTCTACAAGGTCCCTGACAAGGTCCCTGAAAGCTGGGGCAGTTCATGGAACCACAGTTGATGGAAAGCATCCTGAATCCTAATGCTAGATTGTAGGATATAAACAGATTGTTTTACTATTAAAAGGTTGCTCAGGACCCTGACTCTCCTCCCAGCCCCAGACAGGCACAGACCCATCTCAGCATGTGTACCTGAAATTCTCTGCATTTGGGGCAGAAAGCTTTGCAGAAAAGTTTGTGCTCCTGCTGCATGAGCTACAGACCTCTCATCTGGTCTAATAATCCAACATCTTTCACAAACTTTACATCTGCTTTTGGGAAATGGGAGCAAAAGGAAAGACACACATACCATTCACAGTATCACGTGCACAATCCTTTTAGGAGTGGCCATATTTACCCACTATCATCTGTTCAAAAGTAAGGTTTTTATATTGCTTTCAAAAATGTTCACTGTCTCAGTACTGTAGTCACAGAAATTAACTGCACAGAAAGAAAAAAAAATATATATTTCCAGATGAAATATTTTTAGCATAAGGATCAGTTTTCAAAAATGAAATAGTACTGAGGCAAGAGAAGCTCATTGAATCTTTTGCCCTAAATGAAATAAAAGTAGTTAGGTAAATCTTATCTAAACCGAAGCTTCTAAGTGCCACAAGTGATATTTTTGAAGTGAGTGAAGTCCTAAAAGCCCATATTTTTTGCCATCTCTTCCATTTTCACTGTTTTAGTCCTAGAAAATTTGTAAAATATTATGAAGCCTCATCTTTGGTATCTTAATACCCAGGCAGAAATCAGACTTGGTAACCTAATGCCACAGATTACAGCAGGGGACAAAAATACACAATTCTGAACAATTAATGGGGAGCAGTCCTTTGGTGACTGTAAACCATGATGGATTGGATTTGACTTTTGGTGCAGGATGTTTTTACCCTGTTTCTGCTGAGCTGGGACAAGCTGAGCACCCCAGACCCCACAGCTGGTACTGGCTACATCTAAAGGCAGCGTGGTGAGCCCAGTAAACCCTGGCCTGATCCAAAAGAGCAGCCTGCTACATTCTCATGTACCTTACTGCTATAACTTAACACAAATTTACCTCACAAAGCTGCAAACACTTGGAAAAAATATTGCAGCACACAGGCAGAAAATTTTTGCTTCATCTTAAGACTTGCAACATCCTGTTTTTGCTAACTTTTGCTAATTCAGACCACATTTCAACTGACTATGTCCCATTAGCAGGACTGACTCAAAGCGTATTTATGGTCAGGGTCCTGAGGGGACTTAGGAAACCTGGAGTGTTGTCTGAGTTCTGGCACAGGCTTTCATGTCAAGTTACTTAACTTTCTGTGGATCTTGTTTTCTACAGGGTCTCAGTTTCCCACTATATCATGACACTTTCCTTCTACACAAATTATTACCAAAAAATAAGGATGCATGATGCTGCAAAGATGAAGTCTGCCTTGCAGCACCATACCTGAGCCTTGCTTGCCAGAAGGTGGTCAGCAGGACAAGGTGTCTCAAAAATCTGGTGGAAGGGACCTCTGGATGTCATCCAGGCCAATAAGAGGCTCCACAGCCTCACTAGGGGATGTGCTGCAGTGACATGATACCTTTCTAAATCCAAGCATTTCTCTTCATGCTCAATCTCAGTGTCTCAAACTGCAGTTTATGACTCTGTGTCTTGCTTTACCCTCTGGTGTTACTGAGAGGGTTTGGGTTTGGTGGTCTTTGCACCTCCCTCTCAGCTGAAGGCTGCTGTTAGTCCTGCCCTCAGTCTCTCAGTCTCCTCTTCAGCACAGTGAACAAGTTCAGCTCTTTCCCATGCTTCCTGCAGGCCACCTGTCCAAAACTCCTCACTGACCTCACTGCATCCTGCTGAACCCTCTCCAGCTTCCCTAAGTCTGGTTAACCTGGCTTGCAGGTGGCAACACTAAGTTTGTATTTCCCAGTGGTGCCTCACCAGGACCAGGACGGGCAGGGTAAAAGTGTCCATCAACCTGTCTCCCTCCACATAACACAGCTGCTCTTCCACCTTGTTTGCAGAGAACCACACACTGCTGGCTCATATTGAACTTGGCATCTGCTGTGATTCCCAGGGAGTTTCCAGCATGCCTGCTCCTCAGCCAGCGAGTTCCTGCTCTGTACCAACGTCCCTGGCACGGAGATCAGCACTTATTCCTCTTGGACACTGTGAGGTTTCTCTTGGAATGGTCTTCAGCTTTCTCAAGTTCTTCTGCACTGGATCTCTGCCTTCACTGTGTCAGCAATGCCTCTGCCCCGCCCCAGGTTCAGTTTTGTGGGTGCACTTGTGAGAGAGGACCAGCAAGTCCTCTTGTCATGAGTCATGGCCCAGGCTGTGGGTGAAGACACTGAATGGTTCTGCCCTGCTATTGACCAGTGGCTCTACTTTTACAACATCCCAATCAAGCCACTGATTGCCTGATCAAGCCCTTTGAGCTTGCCTGTTGAGTTAACTTTCAGCCCAGCAAGTTGTTCATTCACCCAACACGTGTGTCTTCACCTACCAAACAAGAACACTGAGGGATGGTGTTGAAGGCATCTATAAATCAAAGTGTATTACATCTTGTTACTCTTCTGTTGTCTACATACAGTTATTTCATGGGGCAGAGAGTCAGATTGGTCCTACATGTAAATCCATGCTGCTCCTGATGATCTTCTGGTCTCCCATATGCATGGGAATAGACTTCAAGAGGATATGTTCCAAAATGCTTCTAGCACCTGAGGTAAGCCTGACTGGCTTATGGCTGCCCCAGATCTCCTTCTTGCCTTTCTTAAAGGTGAGCACAATATGAACCTTCTTGCAGTTCTCTGTGGCCTCTTTTCATCACCACAGGTGGCAGGAGCCCACAGGGGCATCAGCCAGGTCTTGAATGAATCCTCTCTAGACCCATGGATTTGAATACCTTTGGGATGATCCTGCTGTCCCTCTGAGGGGTGAAATCCAAAAGTAAGTTGCTATGAGCACACATGCATTCATACAAGCTTTTTATTTTCTTTTTCTAGTTATTCAAGCCCTCATCTGAAAGTGCTTTGGGCTCGTTTATATGCTTATACTACTTGGTTTCAGACTTAGAAAGGAGAGTCCATCTGAAATAAAATTTTCCCACTGAAGCAAATCCCTCATTATTCCAAATATTTTAATGTCATTAGGATCGCTCCAGATTAAAACAAAACAAAACAAAATAAAACCAAAGCAAACAAAAAAAGACCCAAACAGAACAAACCACAAAAATAAAACCAGGCCCTTTGTCATGATTTGTGAAAGAAAATAGCCATGACATAATGTAGAAAAGCAATGAACTATGAGCAAGTAGAAATTTTTTCATCATTGCTGGAACAAAAGTAATTGGGTTACAAAAGTTGTCTACACTGTATGCCATGCTCTCTTTTCCTGGCAATAAACTGATCACCTCCTCCATACTGCCAGCTCCTGACTGCCCTTTCTTCCAGCCTCCTCAACACCTTTAGCACTGTGATCCCATGCTCTTCATGCTCCATCACATCTCAGCCCCTCTCACCTCTTTATATTTTCAGTACATAAAACATATATCTCCATTTTGTTAGCTGGTGGAGAGGAGACAAATGTTGTGAGTAGTTTATGCATCTCAGTGACTGAAGTGGATTGACTGGCCTCAACCTCCTCACTGGTGGCACAAGTCTCCTTTCCTTTTCCTCTTTGAGATAATTATAGGGTTGGTCTTCTGTACCCAGCTAGTGAAATGTGCAAAAATCATAAGATTTTGAGACCTTTAAGATGTGTAACCACCTAGTAAATTTAGTTGAAACTGGTCAAAAAGTTAAAGAAGGTGCCAAGAAAGTGGAACAACAGACAGAGGAACAGTATAAACTTTCCTCAGGCAAACAGAGTAAAATTGAGGGTTTGTAATTTCAGTAATGTTTGTTATGATTTCAAATTAATTATGCCTGTCCAAATATTTGTACCTCATGTATTTTAACAACTATAACTATTAAAATCTATTCTTTAAGGCAATTCACAGCAAATCAAATGCAGAACACTAGAGCAGTGACCAAAATAAATTACAGAATCATCATAATGGTTTGTTTCCAGTGCCGAAATCCCAGCCATGATTATTTTATTTAAGCCAACTTCTCTGAAACATTTTGCCCAATTGTTCCAATTGTCGGTGATGGAGAGAGATGGAGAAGACTGATTCGGTGATCAGAATCCGATTTATTGTGGGATACAAACACTTATATACTATTTTAGGGAGCGTAGTAATGTGTATTACAATGATTAGGTTAAAATCACATACACAAACTTATGCATACAATAACATCTCTTGCCTGCAGAGTTTAATCAGATTTTCTTCTGCTGGTAAACCTGTCTGATTGGATCTTCTTGCAATCTAGGTCTCATTTTCAAAGTTCTGTTTGCTTATGCCAAGGCATCCTGTTATCAAATCTTTATGTTCACCAGGTCCAAAGTCCATTATCTGTCTTGTGTCCCCCAACATTCCAACATCAGTCATGAACTCATCCAACCTATCATTGTCTGCTGGATGTGTTGCCCATCCTGTCATAAGGAAAATAACATGGAAGACCTGAACTTTCCATCTAGCAGTCCTCACCAAGAATATTGTCCTGGGTAACACTGCAGTTATTTTGACATCCTTCTGACCAAATGTGTTACATCATTTGAAAAAAGCCCAGCTGACACATGACACATTTATGTGCCATACTGGCCACGTTGCAGGCTGTTGGCCTGGGAAAAAGGAGCTGGGGATTTTACCAGCCCTGGAGATCCTGCAGCCTCCCAGCACAGGGCAGTCACAGATGCCATGCTGTGGCAGAAGGGACTGAAATGGGAGTCAACCAGGACAGTGCTATTCCAGGTGTAGGAAATTTGACTCATCCCAGACCAGTGCCAGTGGCAGCAGGAGCTGAAGGCAGGCATTGTCCTACAGGGTGCTGAGGTGGATGGTGTCCTCAAACACAGGGCAAATCCAGACACAGCAACACTGCCACTGAGACCTGAATCAGATTTTCAAGTGACTGTGATCTTCAAACAGGGGAATTCAAACAAAGGCCAAATTGGCTAGAAACAGGCCACAGATTGTCAAAACCTGTAATGTCTTCCCCAGATGTATTATTCCTTTGAGGTGGGTGAAAAATACGGCCTCACCAAGCGAGAAGAGCCATGCTTGCAGATCTGGCCCTGCTGAGCAGATCTCAGCAGCAGGAAAGGTCAGGGATCTCCCAAAATTCAGGTGTTCCCAGAAAAGGTGCCAGCTGCCCGCGCTGCCTGGCTTGTTCTGACCTATAGGACAAAGAGATCCCACCCACTCCTCTGGGCACAGACAGGCTCCATCCCCAGAGCTGCCTCTGTGGAGACAGAAGCACATGGACAGGAGGTTCCATGGGTTCTGTAGTGCCTGTGCAAATAAAGAATCAAGGCATGTCTATATATATATATATCTTCATCAACAGGTATGTAAAACAATATATCTATTTAATTTGATGAAGGAAAGAAAGAAACATGATATTTTTGAAGCCTCAGCTAAAAATATATATATGAAACATCATATATACTATATACTATAATGTAATATAATATATACTATATACTATATACTCGGTCACTTGCCCCTAAAACCAATTACATGAATGTGGGGTCAAAGCTTCCAAACATGAATTTGCATTCCCAAAACAATATAGGTGGTAACAGTTGTGTGCAGATGCTGAATGAGCAGGAGTGTGGCCCTCCAGTCTACCAAAAGCTCAAACTCTTAAGTCCATGAAACAACCAAATTACTTCTGCAGGAATTCACAGGACCAAGAAGGCAAAACAAAGCCACAGATTCCTAATGCTGAAGGGCCTGGCACAATAATGACATGGATAGTCACACATCCAAGAATCAGATAAGGATGCTATGATTTAAGACAGGCATTATAGGATAAAACAGGAAAACCCCATGCCCCAAATTCAGCCATAGTTTTTATACCCACTTCAGGACAGGTGATGATTTTTATTCTGTCTTTGGGCAGAAATAGTGGGTTTTCTTTGCAATAGTTATTGAACTGGCTGCTACAGCTTCAGGAAACAAAAAGGCACAGTCTAAGCAATAGCAGAGAAGTTGCAGATCTTAGAAATTTCTGAATGTATTATGGTATTTCCTGTGTATTATGATATTTCAGAGCAAGCTCTGAAAATCTTAAGGTTTTTTTAAAAGGAGACTAGCAAATCTTGAATTGCTAATGGGGCATTCTGCTGCAGAAACTGCAACAGGGAAGGGGTGGGCAGACCTCAGCCTTGGAAAGAAGGATCCAAGACCTGGGGGATCTCCACAGAGCAAGGTTTGCTCACAGTCAATCTCACCAGGTCCCTAAGTGAAGAATGGAGTTGGAATCCTTTCCAATAAGGGTCACAGTGGAAATTGCACACCTATGCACTGGGTGTATGGTTTCAAATAATGCAGAAAACTGGATTTGAGGACTGCCATTTGATCTGACATTTTAATGCCTGTGTTTTGAGACAAACTGACAAACAGAGTAAAGCCAGAACATTCAAAAGTAAACAGCACTGCCAGGAACACATGTCATTGTATATTTCTAATGTTCTCACTGAACTAGAGAGATTGCTTAACTTCTTACTCTTTAATGGGATTCATATAACTGGAAGATTATTGCAAACTATAAGGGCTGCGCCACGTGGCAGGGGTAAGTCTATTCTTGGCACTCTTTGCTCAGCTTTTGCTCATGTTATTGCTATTTAGCAGTTGTGTTTCAGGCTGTCTCAGCTCCACTGCAGCCAGATGTCTCTGATGACACTGGAATAACATCTAAGTGTAGCTAGGTAATGTCTGTCCCAGCCATCAGCTTTTCAAAACACATTGTCTCTCCATTGGAAATCTTACAGGAAGGAGAGGAAATCTCCTCCAGCAATTGATATCTGTGAGGCCCAGATTTGTGCAGCCCTAAGCAGCTGTGGAGAACCTCTGGATCTGTGGGAGCCGGGTGTCCGGTCACGCCGTTGTTGTTCCGCCGCCCAGCAGCACCGTCCCACCAGCCAGGCACTCAGTGGGGCTCATGGGGCTCAGGAGTGACCCTGGGGCTCAGCCACCTCCCTGCTCTGGACTGGGAGCCTGGGAACCCCCAGGGCACTGGGGAACCTGCAGCACAGCTCCAAGCCTCTGCCTTGCTTGATGAGCACAAACCCGAGGCAGCCAGGCCAGGCAGGACCACATCTGGCACCAAGGATCCCAAAAGCAGGGAGGGAGCAGGGCTGCCCTGCAAATGCCTGGACCCTGGGTGCCTGCTGAGGAGCAGTGTCTGGGACAGCCTCAGGTGGGAGCAGTGCTGGAGCTGCCTCTGCAGCCAGCTGGGGCAAGGCTGGTGATGGTCTGCAAAGGAGGGCAAGGAAAGAGAAAGGTGAAAAGGAAGACTGGGCTGACATTCCTTTGGAAGCAACGAAGCAGAAAAGCAGGCAGCTGTGGGGTAAAAAGTTCAGCATTTACCCCTGGAGGTGCAGACAGAGCTGCCATGAAGCCCATGCAGCAAAGGGGATGAGACAGCAAAGGGCAAGTGACAGCAAAGGGCATCAGCCTTACCTTTGCATTCCCCAAAAGAGTTCCTCTGTAACAATGCGACACTCTCAGAACCTGATAATGCCAGGCAAAACTGTGCCTCTATTTAGAGCTGCCTGGTAACTTCTCTTAGCCTGCTGTTCAAGGTCTCATGAGGCTTTTTTTGTTTCAGAGAGAAATCTATCTTTCACAAATGCAAATTCCTGAGCTGACTTATGCTGTTGCACCTATTACACATGCGGTAACAGGCTTAAAATCATGGGGTTCTTCTGGTTTTATTTTAAGATTCAGAAAACATCTTCTTTGTCTTTTAAATTTTGCAGACATTAATCATGTCAAGAATGCCACTGATTGTTGACTGTATATATTTCTAAACTAAAATTATTAGATCCTTACATATTACCAGGTCACCATGACTGCTGAGGGAGTTTTAATCAAGCATCGTGGGAACTGTTGATGCTAATACTTGTGACTGAAGTCTGAATAAAGAAGAAACTCTACCACTATGCACAGCAAGCAATGCACCAGGTGGGCATGGAGGTATTTTCCATCCCTGAAGTAGCTGCCTTTAAATGCCTTCCTTAGCAGCTCGTTTGCCTCCAGCTGGGTTAGGCACCAGCAGAGGAATCCCTGTGCTGCACTGAGACTTAACTCCCTTCTCATCTGGGTCTGGCTCCATCAAGTCAAACAAAGGTCTGAGCATATACTGATATTAGCCAAGGTAGATTATTACTGACAGTAATAATTTAACAGTGATGTTAAATAATCACTGTTTACTTTTGTGTCCTTTCTTGGGCTCGGGAATATTCAATCCCTACAAACATCTGATAAATCTCTTGAAGTAAATGTAACCTAATGAATCCTCATATAAACTTTTCTTTGGGCTTCTTGGTCTTAAATCATGTCTGACTCTCTACTGGACAAGCAGCCAGGATTACTTGATTCTTTCAAAGAATTTTAAAGATAGGTCTGTGCATAGTTTTGTGTCACTTCAATGTAGGGAGTATTTTGCTGAGGAAACACTGAGGAGCTTTCTGCTCCAAGTTTGCACACAGAAATGTTTTACATTGTTGTACAATGGCCTGATTTTCAGATATAGAAAATCCAAGTCTCTGGTATGCTTTCAATAAATATTTCCACAATGCAAGTTGCAATGAAAACATGAACAGGTGCTATATGGATGCAAACATACAAGCATCTGCAAAGTAAATATTTCTTTTTTAAGATACAATTTACTAGACTAGTTAGACGTTTATTTATCTCTTGAAAAACAAATCAAATTTCTACCAAAAGGGTGAGAAAATGTCAAGACATTTCTCAAAGTTATATCAAAAGAGTCATGAGCAGTGTACACATATTCCAATGAAAACACTCCAGAAATTGCTTGTCATCCTCCTCTGTTTTACAGCAGCATACAAAGTTTGGGATACTTCTTTAAACATTGTTGTAAGAAGAAAAATATTTCCTCCTGAGAAGCGTGAAACATGGATATAATAATGTTTGTCAGCTGTCATGCTTAAACATTTTAAGAAAGGAATAAGAACCCAAAGAGTTCAAATGGGGTAGAATAATTTACCCCATTTATTTAAATGATAAAATAATTTATAAATCTTACTTGCTTTGAACCTGAGGAGCTGCCAAATACACAGCACCCAAAGGGTCATAGTCACTACACAACAGGGACTCCAACCAAAATTCTGTCCCTGTGGGGTGAAGGCACGTTGTAGTGCAGGCTGTCTGCAATGCTCTAAAATGCTTATTATACAGTCATATTCTTGTTATAAACCATTAACTCCTTGTCTACTGATAAAACTTTAACCTTTTCTGTTCTAAAAACAAGAGTTTTGGCATATGTGCGTTTATTGCCTCTTGGGGACTGACTCTGGTCCTCATTATAGATCTGCACATACCCTGGGGAAGTGGTGCTGGCTGGCACAGGGTGAAAGTCAACACAGTCAAAGTGAAGAAGAAAATAGAGTTATTTTAAGAATGAGTTGGAATAAACACATCTTTTTTGTCATCAGCATTCACTGGATTAATTCCCATTCTGTAAGTAGGGACAGTACCTTGCTTTTACATGGTGTTTTTTGCTAGTGAGGAAAGAAGATTTGTTTGGCTTTTTTAATTACCAAAGAAATTCTATCTCACTTTAAAAAACAGGACTCAACAAGCTGATGTGAGGTGCAGAGGATGTACAGAAATGCAGTAAAAAAAAGGGTTCTGGTCTCTTGGGATGTGGCACAATTGCCTAGCCATTTGATACTACTGATACTGCTACTACTCCAGACTACAATTCCTTTAACACCTTACAGATTGTTATGATGTCTTTTCCTCTTATGAAGAATAAAAATGAGCAATATATGTATTTATTATTTTAATTTAATTGGTGGCAATCTGCAAGGTACTCATAATGGTACTCATATTCAAAATATTCATACTGAAAATAAAAATTAACTCATGTCAGGTGACCAAGACACTTTGTGCTGAAGAAGACTCCTCAGGACATAGGAAAGACTACGGAAATGCTGAAATAATTAAGACTTCTTATCACCGGCCAGGGACTATGTACAAATCACAAACGGGACAGGACTGCTAGGAATGTGCTTTGAGCTGTTTTATTATCCAGCATCAGTCTCATTACATGGTTATGACAATGGGAAGATGCCTTTATACTTTATACATTTTTTGACTAATCACACAAAGCAAAAGCACATTGACAGTAGTTCCATCCAACCACTCTAAGTACATGTACCTTTGGTTAAAACAATGCTTGCTTATTTCAAATACAATACCTGCTTCTAAGCCTTAAAACACAATGCACAGAGCTCCATTATTAAGCTTAGAACTTTTTAATATCTTGCTAGATAAACTTTTCTGTAGCTTAGAGAGTTATTCTAGACAAGCGTTAATACACAGACCATTCTTCTATTTGTCCTTGCCTTTCTACTTTTTAAATAATTTTTCTGCTGACCTATCTCATGGCTGCTGCTTAGCTCTAATCACAGTTTTACTGTCTCTGAGGCCTGCCTTTTGCAGCTTTCCCAAAACCCTCTAATTTTGTGGATTCCCACAATTTCTTTTACAAATGGGAGCACCAAAATTGTTAATGTGCTTCTTCAGATAGCCAAATGTCTTAATAGTGTGCTCACAGAGGTTTAGTCAAAGCCAGGCTGTACCACCATGCCAGTGCCAGGCTGGTACAAACCCTTAGGAGGGACAGGGCTGCATGTTGTCCCTCTGGGCTCAGCCCTGTCCAGTCAGGGAGTGTCTGCCTGTCTGTCTGTGGCAGCCCTGTTCCTTGTCCTAGATCTTTCCTCTCTCCATGTTCTCATTATTTTTATATAATTATTCTCATTAGCATTGGAAACAGAAAAGGGAGAAGATCCTCAGTGGTGGATCAGCACAGGGACACGAGGAGGGCGCAGGGGCCGTGCACCCTGGTGGCAGGTGAGAGTCCAGAGTGGCAGCAAACAGCACCCAGGGGCCACCAGAGCCCTTCCACTGCCCAAGGTGCCAAACTGCAGTTCCCCCCAATGCCAGGGAATGGGAGGCTTCATTGGAGAGGGGCAGGCACGGGGCTCTGTGGGGCAGGACAGCTGTGTGAGGGGCTGGTGCACAGCTCCAGTGGCCCCAGTGTGCATCCAATGGCTGGGGTCCCCTGGGCTTGGGAGAAATTGTGGGGTTGGCCAGGCAAGCCCTGGGAGCACAAAGGCTGCATGGCCCAGCTCTCCCACTGCTGCCAAACTGTGAACAGCAGCAATGCTCAGCTGGACAGAAACATCTCCTCCTCATCCTGATCCCAGAGAATGCTTTGGAGCCTTGAAATGTTAATTACTTTACAGCGTCCTGCCATAAACAGTTAAAGGTTTGCTTTCCTGCAGTTTAAAGGGATAAGAATGTAAAACTGGATCTAAGAGACACACAGGAAGATGCTCATCCCTGAGCAGGACTCTTACAGACAAAACAGAGCCAAGTGTAATTTGGTTCTCAAAGATAGGGAAACTGAAGCCCAGAACAGTTTAGTGACAATAAGCTCCATCCAGCTTTGCTAAACTCAGTCTGAGGTTTGTAGTATACTGAAAGCATACCCAGCTACTGAATCACAGGTCTGAGTCCTTTGCTAATAGAAATGCTGCTCGATGATTGCAGGCATTTTTGAATGACAAAATAGGAAAGAAATTGTAATTCATTCTCATGGTTACTTACACTGCCCTTCCCATTCAATGGAAAGAGCATCCCTGCTTCTTTCCTTTACATGGCTAACATCATCAAGTATATCTTTGACTAGAATGTTGAGTTTAGATATATGAAATATTAGGAGTCAAAAACTTTGGGTTGCAAGCCCAGCTTTGCAAATGGGAGACAGTTTGTCAACTGGGAAGTTGCAGCAGGATTGTGAGCAAAGCTGATTGTGAATTTCTAACTTCATATGAACACTTTATATAAAATGCAGAGAAAAAAAATACTTAAGGCACCAGATGGCAAAACCAACACAAATGAATGAACAGCTCTTAAAAGATAGTATACTTTTATTTATGAAAATATTAAACCATGTTTATATGATAGAATAACAAATGGAAAGGGCACCTTAAAAGATAGTATACTTTTATTTATGAAAATATTAAACCATGTTTATATGATAGAATAACAAATGGAAAGGGGACCTTAACACTTGCAAATTTCTATGTGTGATCAGCTGCAGGGAGATAAAATTGCTCTTGAGTGACTGGATATGTTTCTTCTGCTTTCCTCCATTTCTTTTAAGCCTTAATTAGAGCCAGATGTTTCTTATTTCCTTTCTTTTTTGTTTTCAAGTGTGCACAAAGCATGGTGCCAGCAGTAAACACCATCTTTTACTTTTTTTAATGTGTCAACTGCATCTGAGTCAGAGTCACAAACCAGAGTAAAATTCCAGCAAAGCAGTGCAAGCTTTCCCTCCTACTGTCATTCCTACTGGAAGATGGGCATTGCTGTTTCTGGCAGCACAGGAGCCATAAAAATCCCACCATGTGTCTGAGAACCTTGCCCCTGGTAAATAACACCGGGGGCAGGAGACTGGAATGCTGTGTACCATGAACACAGCTGCCCCTCCCATGCTCTTCAGAGTGCTGGGAATGATTTCTTGTTGTTTAATTGCTGCTCAGCTGTATGGATCTGCAGCCTGTTTTCCATTTCTTCCTTCTCCTCCTCAGGGAGGCAGAGGCTCATAACCACAGCATACAAGCAAAACCATTTCTGCTCCAATTTTGTGCCTTCATTGTACCCTTACATTGACCTCAGAGCTGCCTCTCTGGCAGAGTGTTTTGTCAGTAAATGGCAGAAGTCTATAGGTGAGAGATTCCTTTCTAAACTAAATTGCTTAGTATTGCTTTAGTATTTATAATTATGGTTTTCATCTACTTTTCTAAACGTATTTTCATTCTAAGAAACGTATCAAATGCAGAGATCCATGAACTGCAACAGTTACCTAGCAAAGAGGTAGAAATTAGTGTTCAAAAAAAGTCATCTGAGGACAAGTTATTCCTTATTTGACAACTATTTTGAGCAAGCACATATTGCACCTAGAATAGATTTTAAGGACAAATTTTCCAGCAGTTTTCCACTTGTCTTTCTCCCTTTTAACAGATGTGCTCTTTGTTACTCAGTCCTTGGGAGTCAGGCTCCCTTCCACTACTGCACATGCTGAAGATCTTTTTGGATAAAAAACTGCTCTGTTTTCTTCCACAAACTTTTGTACCAGCAACTCCTACCCCAACTGCTGTTTAGAGGAACTGAAACATTTTGGGGAAAAGTGCCTGACTGAGGTAATTGATCCACTGAAGGTTTTTAGTGCCTAAGTTTTAAGGATGAGTGAACCTGGAGGATTCAAATTCCTTGCTGTCATATTTGCTCTTCATTCATGCTATGTTCATTTAAAAGGGAAAATATTATTTAAATAATACATGTAAATAATTTAAATAGAACAAACATCACAGTTTCTAATGACAAGGTAGTACTGACCTTTCTTGGATTAAAGTGCAACTTGTTCAAATGCCTGGATGTGTTATGAGAGTAACCTGTTTATCCCACCCATCCTGTTCCATAAATGGTTCCATTTTTTCCCCTGAAAACATGACAGACATCTTACATGAATAAATCAATTTTATTTAAATAAAATTACAGGTGTTTTTTGTCCAGTAAAAATTAACATATAGTTTTTCAAAAAGGCACCAATATTTAAAAATAATTTAAATTTTCTTGAGAGCAGCTTCCTTTTTCTGAGTGGTGTTTGTAAACTTGTTGGACTTTCCTCCCCTCATTCAACTCAGGCAATACCTGCTGCTTGTGAAATGATGAAAGCTGCACCTTCTTCATTGTGATAGATGCCCCACTGTTCCTGGGCATCTCTTTAGAACACAGGAGAATGGGTCAGGTGTTCCATGCAGCAAAACCTCACTCTGAAATAGGGTGTCCCTCTCCTTTGTGGCACCATACACTTGTCAGGCACAAACCCCTGCTATGACACTCACTTTCCATGTACTGTAAATATTAAAAATTAAATTCCAAAAGTTACTGTTTCTTTGAGACTTCAGGATCTGGTTTTCCTTGCATTTCTCCAAGCTTGATAATGCAATGCCACATTTCCTAATGTGAGGAGAGAGCCTTTTGCACAAAGCCTGCCCTACAGTTCTGTGTCAGACTCCAGTCTGGGCTTCTTTAGAGGTGTCTTTGCTAAGCCTGGTTGCACCAAAACCAGCAGACATGTTGGGCTTATTCATCCAGTTCTGTGATCATTTACAGGAGATTCACAGCAGGGACACAGAGGGAGGTGCAGGCCAAATCCTGCTCAGTTTTTCCCCAAAAAGACCCAGCTTTACAGCCACCGCTGGATAAGGACAGAACCAGAGTCCCCAGCTCCTCCTCACAGGAGGAGCAGTATCAGGCAGCCACTCTCTGTCCAATAAATTCAAGTACTGTCACTTTTTGCTTCTGTAAAAGCAGGGAAGTGTTTTCAAAAGGAGATTTTGCTAAGCACCTTCCATGTGCACAGCTTGCCCATGAGGTTCACTTCATTGATTTATTTTATTATCGTGACAGACTTTTGTAATAATCCCCAAGTTCTCTTTGATGCACAAACATCATCCTCTCTGCCCAGCACTACAGAAGCTTTGTAGCTCAACCATTCTAACAGAAAAAAGGATCTGCCCTTTAAAAAAAATCCCCACAATTTAGAGACAACTGTGATGTGGTGCAATGGAGGTAAGATCCTAACAGGAATACATTTGGCAAATGTATCCCTGCTGCAATTAACAGGCAAGCTCCTCAGGGAAGCCCTGGATCTTCCTTCTCCAGAAAATCTGATTTTAATGGAACCACAGTAATCAAACTCCAGTCTTAGATTTGCAGAGTGGAGTGAATAGAATTATTTCAGAGTTTGTAGTAGAACCACTGTAAAGCTGAGACACAGAGCTACAAATATACCATACCAATACCTATCTTACAAGAATATCCTGGGCTTTACTAAGGTTTGTGACAGGCTTTACTAAAGTTTGCCAAAATCTCCAAAAGTCTTCAGAGAAAGGCATTGGAAAAGGGCCAAGAATTGCTAAGGAAAGCAGTGATCTTTGGCTAGCAATGTGCAATTTCCTCCTTGACATTTTTAAATGTAGAAATGTACGTGAGCCAGCTACTCTTGCTTTCCAAAGATTCATCTTGATAATCTGGCACCTGGTTACAGGTGTTACTTCACAATACTTGGCAAACACCTAAAATTATTTTAAAACTTAACAACTGAAGTCTTCTAAGAAGACATACTAAAGCTCAGACAGTTTATTGTGCTTTTCATCCTGCTTAGGTTATCTCTTTGGTTTAGAGATACAGCACCTTAATATTTACATGGTATTAAATGTATTTATCAAGAAAAGCAGTGAAGTTTGAAGTTTGCATTGTTCCTGCCTGTGAGAAGCAAAGTAGTTTCTGATGATGTCCTTCAGAATAAACAACACCACTGATTATATAAAGGCACTGGCAAAACTGACAGACTAAAATACAGCATTAACAGCATGTGAAGCTTAGAAAGGGGCTCCTTGAAAAAGGGGAGATAAAAGGTACATCTTAAAAGTGAAGTAAATATTTATGTTGTATTGAAGGTAAAGTAGTCTTAGAAAAGGCCTGTAAGGATTTTTTGGGATCCCTTTGAGGTACAAACTATTTTATTAGCTAGCTTTTTTAAGCAATCATTTTGCTGCCATTGGCCATGAACACTATGCTTTTCACTAGGTCAGTTTGCACGGAGAAAATAAATGCAATTAAAAGGCATGCAAAATCATCTCATACAGGGAAAGGGATGCAAAACCTTCTCATCCTGCCCACAGAGCAGAATTACCCACTCCTGACTCAGGTGATGGATCACATGTCTGCTCTGAATCCTGCAGAAAACCACCAAATTCCACCTAAGGAAGGAAATAACTTTGGGAAAGAAACTGGTTTTGCAGTTAGGTGCTGCCTGACTGGACACCCCTCAGCCTTTTTGGAAAAGAAATTGTTCCAGGGAAGGCAGGGTCACTTCCACTGCCTTGAAAAGTCAAAGGATAGCAAAGAGACAGGACTGTCTAGGCACAAGCACAAGCAACCACATTGGGTTTTGATCACTGTACACATCTTTGGTCCTCCTGCCAGGTTTGGAGGTGTCTCTGGGGGGGAAACACTGCACACTCTTCAGTGAACCACTCAATGGGTTCACAGTGAGAAGTTCTTCCTGTTTAACATAAAGCCACAAGCAAGACACAAAATTGTTACACAAAACAGCTGCAAGACTGTGATTTCTTTATCTTGTTCTACTGTTATCCAGGTCTGCACAGTTATTTATCCACAGGTACTTGCAGGGCAACCAACACACATATTTAGACACTGATTATGGAAACTTCATGTCCAGCAGTGGCTGAAATACATTTTGCTTAGCTTTTAATAAGGCAAACATACAGACTTCACTGTGCCACCTCATCCACATCAAGTCTGTCTAATACTAGTCTGATTTTCTGTGAAGCATGTGATAAGCAATGTACTAGTGCAACAGCCATGAATCAATATCAAGCTTACCCTTCACAAAAAAAAAAAAACCCAAAACTGTGTAGATGTAGACATTGTAGGGGATTGATATTTGCAAAGTAGGTCATAGTAAAGAATGAATAAGATGGCAAAAAAATGTAGAAATGAGGTATCAATTAGCCTAATGGTTGGAGTGGGCAAACTAGTCAAGACATACTCATGCTAAATTTCTTCTTCTGACTCATGATCTCGTTCAGCTGTTTTCAGTAAACCCATTTCCATGGGCTGGGACTGCTTAACCTTCGAACGGACCACCCTGGAAACAACAACAACAAAGATGTTAATGGTAACTCAAGGGCTCATCTGACCATTTTTTACAGGGTAAAATCCTGCTTAACTCTGGTTCTTGGGTTCTCCAGCTGGTCAGAGTGACCCTGAGATGCATTAGAAAGTCTCTTTTCCCAGCCCAGCGCTCAAAGAAGCAGTCAGGGCTCTTCATTTCTCAGTCTCAAGGTTGTTTATTGTTTCTTATCTATAAAATTCTTTCTCCTGGCCTGCTGAGGTCAACCCAGCAAGACAGTCTGAGGCATTCTGCCTGCCCCTGGGGTGGTGTTATCTTTTTATACTAAGAACTACGTGTACAATGTTTGCAACTACTTTCCCATACCTATCACCTGTGTTAGACAGTGAGCTTCTACTCTAAACCAATCTAAAAGTGCCAACATCACCCAGAACATGGAGGCCAAGAAGAAGAAGGAGAAAGGCTGGACATGCCCAGATTCCTCCATCTTGCCTCCTGAACCCCCATTCTAAAAACCCCAAAAATCTATTTTTCACCCTGTGATAAATTCACTATCATTCTACTTAAACTTTCAAGGCTTGTAATTCTTCATATAAGGTTGGTAATTGTTTTTTCCAAGGGCTAAATCAAAGGCACAGGGGTCTTGGGCTCTGTGCCAAAGTCTCTGAGCCCCCTGGGCAGGGTCTCAAGCTCTCCAGGGCAGCCAGAGGAATTTCCTGGGTTCCAACAATCAGCAAGTTAGGATGACTCCTTCTGTGATTCTGTGGTTAGGAAGTGCTGCCTTTACTGATCTGTACTCAGCTTGCAAGCTCTTGTTCCTATGGACATATCCCAGAGCACTCCAAACAAACCTCAGTGAACCCCCCAGAAGGTTCAGTGTCATGCAGGAGCTGTGCCCACGTGGGAAGGGACCATAAAGCTGTGAGAAAGAGTCTGGCTAAACCACCCTCAGAGGGGAGCTCTGCCTGTGTGCCATGATCAGCCTTCTCTGGGGCCTCATCTGAGGCTGCAGCAGCCACTGGTCCCAGCATCAGAAAGGACCTGAGATTGCTGCCCCTTTCTCAAGAGCTGCCCCTCTTTATACAGTAAAGCAGTTACCCAGCCTCGAGTGCTGGTGCCTCTCAGACTGAGACACAAAAAGAACTGGCACCTCAGTGCAAATCAAGACTGGAAGAGCTATGTATTTAACATGATTAAATAGGGCTGTTAGGATGGTAGGGATAAAGCAAGGGTGAGAAGCATGTTTAGGACACTGCAGGAAAAGGCTTGGTAAGGTCCTGTGGACAGAAGGTGATCACATTCTGTGATCTGATGGCAGAGGCATTTTTACAGCCAATTAACACTGCAGTTGGAATTTTGTCAGAATTAGCACTGGGCAGTGAGGAAAAGGGCTAACTTTAGACATTAGGGGGTGAAAATGGTGAAAAAGAAATCAGGATTGATCACAGGAAATTTCTAGCAAGGAATTCTGTGTCATAATCTTCAGAGCAAAGTCATGAAGCCTGCTCTTTAAGCCACTTAAAAGTAGCAGAGATGAGCAGTTGGAGTCTGCAGGTAAAAAAATCTCCTACTTCTGACTTTATATGCACTTACAAATGTGGAAGACTATTGGTGCTCATTTTATGTGAGAAGTATTACGCTATGCTATCAGAGCTGTATTTATGGATGCATTTTCCCCCTTTTTACTGAAGCAATACCATGTGCTTTTCATTGATTACTAATAACTATTTTTATTTTACCTTGCAAGACAATTACTTACTTCATAGAAACCTTTTCATTTGCCAGTGAAACTTTTCTAAAATAAACCTCCTACTAAACCTCCTACTGACAAGTCACCAAAGTTTCAGTGTTTCAAGTAACTTACCAGCTGACAATTGTGTAATTCACTGCAAGTATAAGAAAGGCAAAAGCATAATGCCAGCAATAGCACATGGTCAGAAACATCATGTTAGTGTGATCTGTCTGATTCCACTCTGGGCTTCCATTTGGGGGATAAAGCACAAAGCCAATCTGTAATAAAATAAAA